CTTCAAACTAAGCATAGTGACCTAAATAAATAATGGTCTTGTAACAACAGTCACACTACAACATAGTATGCACTCTGTAAGAAAGTGGTACCTATTGTGACTAAGGACCGGGAAGTAAAATCCAAAGTAATATTCGACATCAACATAAGATGAATCTCGTTGGGATGCTACGAAATACGGTTATTGAAGTATAGTATTGTCCCTAGGTGGATCAGGAAAAAATAACTTCAGATGTTCCCCGATGAGATGTGGAACCGAGTCACATGGTATTACGTGAGAAGTTTCAAGTTATCAGTGGTAGATTATAGATCAACATAAGGTGAATAACCAATAGGCAAAAAAAAGTTCCAAAGTACGAGACGAGATTAGGCCGTCATTCTTAAGATGAACAGTAATGAGGGAGAACTAAAGGACTTAGATTTATACATACAGGATAAGCAGCGAGAGAGTAACCTGGAGTTGGGTACCAAACCTCGGTAATAATAAACTGAAGTAAGTGTTATGGTATAGTATAACCTACCTAGATGTAGTAAAGCCATAAGGATAGATATACAAGGCTACAAAATAAGATATAGCAACAATCGTAAGTTCAACAAAGTACCAAACAAAGAACTTCAGTACACCTATATATACCGGGAGGTAGAACTTGTCATAGTTCTGTATATATTCCCAAAGTGAGGCCTAGAGATTAGCTAAAAGCTGGAGGAAAAAGGATAGAAGAGTCGCATAGGCGCACATACAAGGACAAAGTCGTACAGACTGCATGACAGAAGGTCGCAAAAGTTACGAGATTGGAAGAATTCCGATAACAAGTCGTGGTTTGAGAAAGAGGCCTAATGGGGGGAATGCCCTAGCCTTCGGATTTATTCATAGAATAATTTCCTAAATAGCAAGGACAATTTTAAAATATTCGTACATATATGGGTTATGAGACTGATAAGCGCATCAGTCAACATCGAGGACAAATTTCCTAGAGCCTTGTTTATAGATGTGTTGTGCACCACATTATATAAACAGGAAGCTACAAGGCATATAGGTGTACGTTACCCTTCTTTCAAATCCGTATTGTGCTATAGAGCTGAGTCATAAGAGTTCGAGCCAAGACTTATATATGCTAAGTATAAAGATGCTTGCAATTTGAAAAATTACAGCTAGCCAGAGGGCTAATACAGCAGCAAGTAAGGGCATTAAAAGAGAGAATTCTTGACGACGTGGCTCCGTTTGAGGCCCTATTAGACCGTGCATACCAGATGGTGCACTCTAGAATAGTACAGTTAGATATGAATTCTGGAACATTCAAAAATATCAAAAGACATGTAGTGGCATCCTAGAAGGGATAAACATTTACTTTAGTTTGACTCCCGCCCCTAGTAAAAAGAGAATAGTAGGCGACCCGAAGAGCCAATGAGATAAAGCAAGGGGAGATAAAAGTGAAAGAATATTTTGTTGAAGTTTTTAGAATAAGGTAATAAACAGAGATATTAGCAGGAGAATAAGAAGAGAGTAAATGAAGCATTACGAGTAAGATGTGATAAATGGGTGATAACGGTAAATTAAAATATGATATGATGATAGAGTCTATAGTCAAGTGAAGGAAAAGACAAGAGGCGACAACCCTTGAGACAATATAGGCCAAAAGTCAATTCCTCATTTCGAGAAATGAGTTTGTGAGTCCAACGTGATTATTAGAACAGAAATTTAGACCCCCGGAGTAAGAGAAATCGGCACCGGGTAGTGATCAAGATAAACTGACCATAAATTAGGGATCGAATGATGTGATAATAGTCGACATCGAGAGAATTCCAAATATCGCATTCCCATAATAATAGAATGGACAACAGAAGAATAGCCTTTAAAGGTCATTCACAGAGTCGCTCCTCCAAAGCAAAAAACTTTTTGCAAAGTTAAGCTTAATGGACTAAGTGTGCCAGTTACACTAGGTGTCACCCTCGTGCCTAAGGAATTCAGTTATCCCTGGTAGAGATGGGTTACCGCAAGGCGAGTAAGGGTCAGTGAAGATATGAAAATATGCTAAAGATGAAGAGGTAGTTATGGACTAGTACATGAAGAATGCGGTAAAAAGGCGAAAGGGGTGAGATTGCATTTATTCAGATCCTACATATATATTATGACTCCAGAACATTATATAAGCACGATGTTGGGGAGATGTAGTAAGGGTTCCCTCCCAGGATGTTATTGATAAATAAGTGCGAATTAACACTTGATACATAAGGAGCCAGTGCGAGAGGTAAGATAAGACAAAGGAAACAACCCAAGAGAGATTACGCAGAATATAGATTTGAGAATGGACAACGAGTAGTAACTAGTTGATTCAGGAAGAGCCTAGTTATGGTTAGACAAGAGGATATAGATAAAGCAACATATCGTGCAAGATAAACCTAGTGAAATTCAGTCTCGCAGATACGACATTATAATCCTTGAGAAATATTTAGATAAGAGTTGAGGTAGTTATAGTTGCCGTAAAAGTGTTACGGAAATAAAAGAGAGTGCCACTGGGGAGACAGTATAAATTTCAGTTAAGAAGCAACCCTACAAGCACAAGGGCGCAGAGGTAAGTAACTAAGGATAATTATAGGCAAGTAAGAACATCAAAAATTCCGTCAGGTATATGATGGAATAAGCTCACAACTTTACAAGAGTCAGAGAGCCTTCCCTAAATGCTACAATGAAAGACTAGCTGAGGAAATATGGAAGAAGGCTTCAAACTAAGCATAGTGACCTAAATAAATAATGGTCTTGTAACAACAGTCACACTACAACATCGTATGCACTCTATAAGGAATTGGTACCTATTGTGACTAAGGAACGGGAAGTAAAATCCAAAGAAATATTCGAGATCAACATAAGATGAATCACGTTGGGATGCTATGAAATACAGTTATTGAAGTATAATATCGTCCCTAGGTGGATCAGGAAAATAACTTCAGATGTTCCCCGATGAGACGTGGAACCGAGTGACATGGTATTACGTAAGAAGTTTCAAGTTATCAGTGGTAGATTATAGATCAACGTAAGGTGAATCAACAATAGGCAGAAAAATGTTCCAAAGTATGACACGATAGGCCGTCATTCTTAAGATGAACAGTAATGAGGCAGAACTAAAGGACTTAGATTTATACATATAGGATAAGCAGCGAGAGCATAACCTGGAGTTGGGTACCAAACCTCAGTAATAATAAACCGAAGTAAGTGTTATGGTATAATATAACCTACCTAGATATAGTAAAGCCATAAGGATAACTATACAAGGCTACAAAACAAGATATAGCAACAATCGAAAGTTCAACAAAGTTCCGAGCGAAGAACTTCAGTAAACCTATATATACCGGGAGGAAGAACTTGTCATAGTTCTGTATATGTTCCCAAAGTGAGGCCTAGAGATTGGCTAAAAGCTGGAGGAAAAACGATTGAAGAGTCGCATAGACGCACATACAAGGACGAAGTCGTACAGGCTGCATGACAGAAGGTCGCAACAGTTACGAGATTAGAAGAATTCCGACAACAAGTCGTGGTGTGAGAAAGAGGCCTAAAGGGGGGAATGCCCTAGCCTTCGGATTTATTCACTGAACAATTTCCTAAATGGCAAGGACAATTTTAGAATTTTCATAACAGATATGGGTTATGATACTGATAAGTGCATCAGCCAACATTCGAGGACGAATGTTCCAAAGGGGGGAATGATGTTACACCCCATGTTTTCGTACGTAAGAGTACGTCTTAAGTCAATTGATGTAAGCTCAGAAATGAGATCATCTTTGAAAGTATATAAAGTAAGTTAATCTTGTTAACTTGGAGGTTAAAAATATTTAAGATCATGGAGTGCAAGCACCAAGAGGGTTGGAAGGCTTAGAAGCTAAACCAATTGAAGAAACTAAGTTTCGTCGAAAGTCGACAAGTTGGGTATTGTATGACATGTACTTTTGGGGTGAGACTAGGGTGCTCAAAATGATAAGGAGGTTATGTTATGAGTTATTTTTTTTCATATGATAGTCGTGTGTTATGTCTTGAAGTCAAGCGAGTTGTGGCACAAAAGTTGGAAAAGGTCTACACAAGTTACATTCATAAATGTATTGAAACTTAGGTCAAATATAGCTGAGCTTTTCTACCAATATACTTTGAATTAGGGGATTATCTATCTACCAAATTGAATACATATGAGTCTAGTTTCTAACGTATTACACCGTTTGTTGATACGACATAGGAGTAATGAGATATTTGCAGTTTAACGAGACTGCGCAGACTGCATAGGTGACAAGTAGGTGTGTCACTAAAGCTTTTTTAGCACTACATTTCTTGTGTTATATGAGGTTTTTTTGAGACATATTATATACCAAATTGAAGGTCTTGGAATGTAGTTTCCATCACTCTTAATCGTTTGTTCATACGACATTCGGATAAAAAGATATAAGCGTATGGAGAACAGCCAATAATAGGGTGCCAAGCTAGCACCTCTTTGACTTTTCTAAAATGGATATATATAGGCCCTATGTCGTCTCTTTATTCACTTTTCCACACAACACGACAAGAATAAGACTCCTAAACGTATCCTCAAGCACTCCATAATGGTTTCCAAGAATATTAACATCCCGAGTACGAAATCAAGAAGCGATAACACTAGAACGATCCCTACGACGTAAGTATCGCTAAATCGCCTCTCTTTTCTTTGTAGTTTGAGTTTTAGAAGGTACGTCATAGTTAATAAAGCGTCTAATTTCTGTATTTAAGCTTTAAGTTTCAAGGAAGGTTGATAAATTCATTTCCTAATAGTTATAATACGGGACGGTGATCGGAAACCGTGAGTTTGAATTATTCGACTTGTAGTAGACTGTTTTGTGGGTTGTTTCATGTTGCTTTTGGGCTGTCTATTTTTCTGTTGTTTAATGAAGTTTTGGAGGAGAAATGTTGTGGAGAAACACCACATAATTGAGAAATGGTGGATTAATCATTCATTATAAAATTCTGGGGTGTTCGATAGGTTAATGTCTATTAAGTTGGTGGTTGGAGAGTGCACCTTAAATGTCGTGAGTGCGTATGCGCCGCAAATGGGCTTGGATGAGGAGGTCAAGAGGCGCTTCTGGGAGGGGTTGGATGAGATTGTGCGTAGTATTCTGCCTGCTGAGAGGTTATTTATAGGAGGGTATTTTAATGGGCATATTGGGTCGACTGTAGGCGGCTATGGCGAGGTGCATGGTGGCTTCGGTTTTGGGGATAGGAACGCAAGAGGTACTTCATTGCCGGATTTCGCAAAGGCATTTGAGCTGGTAATTGCTAACTCTAGTTTTCCAATGAGGGAGGAGTATTTGGTTACTTTTCAGAGTACGGTGGCGAAGACTCAGATTGACTATCTTCTCATTAAGAGGTGCGACAGAGGGCTGTGTAAGGATTGTAAGGTTATCCCGGGTGAGACCCTCGCGACACAGCATAGGCTCTTGGTGATGGACGTCGGTATTATGACGAAGAGGAAGAAGAGTACTGCACGAGGTCGACCGAGGATCAGGTGGGGAGCCTTAACTAAGGATAAAGCTCAGGAGTTGGAAGGGAGGTTATCGCCTATGGGAGCATAGAGGAGTAGTGGGGACGCGAGCGTTATGTGGTCGACGATGGTGGATTATATACGGGAGGCAGCGAGATAGGTGTTGGGATTCTCTAAGGGTTACGCTGGCGGGCACAAAGGCGACTGGTGGTGGAATGAAGTGGTCCAAGGTAAAATAGAAGCGAAGAAGACGGCGTACCAGAAGTTAGTTGGGAGCACATGCGAGGTAGAGTGGAGTGAGAACAGGGAGAGGTATAAGGTAGTTAGGAAGGAGGAGAAACTGGCGGTCACGGAGGCTAAGACTGCGGCTTTTAGTCGTCTGTACGAGGAACTAGGGCCAAAGGCGGGGAGAAAAAATTATTCCGGCTGTCCAAGGCGAGAGAGAGAAGGTCCGGGATCTGGACTAAGTGAGGTGCATCAAAGATGAGGACGGTAGAGTATTGATGGGAGAGGTCTAGATTAAGAGGAGATGACAGACTTACTTTCATAAACTTCTGAATGAAGAAGGGGATCAGGATATTATGCTAGGCGAGTTGGGGCATTCCGAGAGCCACCGCGATTTTGGGTCCTGTAGGCGCATCAAGTTTGTAGAAGTCGTGGGGGCAATACGTACGATGAGCAGGGGCATAGCTATCGGGCCTGAGGAGATTTCGGTCGAATTTTGGAGGTGTGTGGGTAGAGCAGGCTTGGAGTGGTTGACTAGGTATTTTATGTTATTTTCAGGACGAAGAGGATGTCGGACGAGTGGAGGTGGAGTAAGTCCATTGTACAAGAACAAAGGTGACATCCAAAGTTGCAACAACTATAGGGGTATCAAATTATTGAGTCATACCATGAAAGCTTGGGAGAGGGTAGTAGAAGCGAGGGTGAGGAGGACGGTGTCTGTATCACATAACTAGCTCGGGTTCATGTTGGGTCGTTCTACTACAAAAGCTATCCACCTTATTAGGAGGTTGGTGGAACAGTACAGGGATAAGAACAAGGATTTGCACATGGTGTTTATTGATCTGGAGAAAGCATATGACAAGGTTCCTAGAGAGGTTCTTTGGAGATGCCTAGAGGCTAAAGGTGTGCCGGTTGCGTACATTAGGGTGATTAAGGACACGTATGATAGAGCTAAGACTCGGGTTAGGACAGTGGGAGGTGACTCTGAGAATTTCCGGTTATTATGAGGTTACACCAAGGATCTGCGCTTAGCCCTTTCTTGTTTGCTCTAGTGATAGACGCACTGACACACCATGTTCAAGGAGAAGTGCCATGGTGTATGTTATTTGCTGATGACATTGTTCTGATTGACGAAATGCGGAATGGCGTTAATGAGAGGTTGGAGGTTTGGAGACAGGCCCTTGAGTCTAAGGGTTTCAAGTTGAGCAGGACGAAGATGGAGTATCTTGAGTGCAAGTTCAGTGCCGAGCCGAGGGAAGCGGGCATGGACGTCAGGCTTGGATCACAGGTCATTTCCAAGAGAGGCAGTTTCAAGTACCTTGGGTCGATTATCCAAGGGAATGGGGAGATTGACGAGGATGTCACACACCGTATAGGGGTGGGGTGGATGAAATGGAGGTTAGCATCTGGAGTCATGTGCGACAAGAAAGTGCCTCCACTACTCAAAGGTAAGTTTTACGGACTGGTGGTTAGGCCGGCCATGATGTATGGGGCTGAGTGTTACCAAGTTAAGAACTCACATACCCAGAAGATGAGAGTAGCAGAAATGAGGATGTTGAGGTGGATGAGCGGGCACACTAGGATGGATAAGATTAGGAATGAAGATATTCGGGAGAAGGTGGGCGTGACTCCTACTGATGACAAGATGCGGGAAGCGAGGCTCAGATTGTTCGGGCACGTTCAGATGAGGAGCTTGGATGCCCCGGTAAGGAGGTGCGAGCGGTTGGCATTGGTGGGTACGAAGAGAGGTAGAGGGCGGCCTAAGAAGTATTGGGGAGAGGTGATAACGCGGGATATGGCGAGGCTTCAAATCTCTGAGGACATAGCACTCGATAGGAAGCTGGGGAGGTCGAGCATTAAGGTTGTAGATTAGGAGGTAGTTGAGTTCATTTAGTCAACCAGTGTGAGGCTAGGCTGATAGGATTCAGTCTTAGACTGCTACTCGTCAGTGTTGTGTTTTCACTACCCTTCCATTTTCATAGTTTAGGCCTTGTTTACTGGTTATTATTTCTGCTTTCCATTTATTCAGTGATTCTTGTGATGTCGTTATTATTTCCATGGTTTTTATTTATGGTACTTATATATTGTCTCTTTTCGTCTTTTCGTCTTCTTGAGCCGAGGGTCTAGCGGAAATAGCCTCTCTACCCCATCGGGGTAGAGGTAAGATCTGCGTACACACAACCCTCCCCAGACCCCACTTGTGGGACTATATTGGGTCGTTGTTATTGTTGTTGTTGTTGTTGTTGACACTACTATAGTTGACGTTTTGGGTATGAAATGATTGGAGTGTGTTGGGCGGTTGTAAGATAAATATAATATGGATTTCGACTTGCATCCACTGTATGAGGTAATTATATTGTGTTCTTTCATGTACTTAAGGTTATCTTGACATTGATTAAGTTAAATGGATGGATTAGACATGAACTAGTGAATAAAGTTGCTAATTGAGGAAAATTGGAGTTGTGGATTATTTTCTTTGTTATAAATATATGGTATAAGGCTGGAATCAATGATGAATGAATTCATTATCATGTTAATGATACTATTGAGTTAAAGCAAGAAGTCTATAAGGGGTGATACGGGGTATACGAATTCCAATTGGAGCTTGCCGCTCGTCGTGAAGTAGTTGTGACTTGTTGTTGTTTTATGGTGTCTTGTTATTGATAATTTTGTATTGCTGGATTTTTCTGGTCATTGTTGTTGGTATATGGTATTGGAGGAGGCTCTTGTTACAGGGGAGATGCTGCTCAAATTTACATAAACGAGCTACTAGTTTAAATTGCGGACTTATCCTTTACTAAACACTGATTTTGAATCTCCTTATGCTATGGTAGATTGAATTGAGTTGTTTGAAGAATTTCTCGGAAGGTATTAAGGACTCAATGAAGTTAAGGTATGTTAAGGCTAAACCTTTCCTTCATTTTGGCATGATCCATTAACTATATGTGTTAGCTAACAAGACATAAAGAGAAGTTCATATCCCTGAATTTATGTACATTTTCCTAGTCTCATAAGTTACAACATTCTTCCTTATGGGGACTACATATTCAGTTTATTTTTGTCTTCTTCCAGCCAAGAGAGCAGAGAGTCTATATATATACATTATTACAGAATTTTCACCACCATCGAGCTATAATCGATGGGCAGGCCCCTATTGGGCAACCTCCGATCAGATGGTGAGTTATATACCGAGCCTACTATGGCTGAGCGCGTATGAGCGAGCCCATAATGGCCGAGATACAGAGCCTAGTATGGCCGAGCGCCTATGAGCGAGCCTACTACGGCAGAGCAGTTATACATACCGAGCCTTATAAGGTCGGACAGCTATTTTACTTACTATATTGAGAGAGTTGAGTCAGTAACAACAGGTAAGCATTGCTTCAGATTATCTTTAACTCCCAGTTACTTTCAGTTATTATATTATCAATTCAGTTTCACCTTTCAGTTATTCTATTACCTTACATACTCAATACATTATTTCTTACTAACGTCCCTTTTGCTGGGGACACTGCATTTCATGCCTACAGGTCCTCATTGATAGTTGGACAGACCGTCCCAGCAGACGGAGTCAAACATCAGCTTGGTTGGTAAGCTCCACTTCCTCGGAGTTACCAGGCCTAGACCTTGGAGTTCATTTTATATATACAAGTTTGATGGGTAGGTCGAGACCCTGTCTCGACCATGGTACAGTTCAATTATCTCTAGCGGCTTGTAGACGAGTCCTGTATATTTTGTATATCAATAGATGTTCATGGAGATTTCATCGGCCTGTACAGTTATATATATCAACTTTTGGGTATGTTTACCCCACAGATAAGAGGCGTTATTTTCAAATGATTCAGAATATGGCCTCATCTGCCTAAGTTGAGGGTTACCCCTCCAGAGTTCACAGTTACAGAGTGGTACGCTCGGGCCGAGTATGGCACCGGGTGCCGGCCACGCCTCTTTAGGTTTGGGGTGTGACAATTCAATTGGTCTGGGTATTACATGGTTTTTGTTGTTGCTTCGCTCATATTTGCTTATAAACTCCATCAGTTGTGTTATGGCCTTTATTTGGCAATTGGTTTTGTTAGATTAGTTCCTACGCATTAGGTATGTACTGAAACTCCACGTTTTCTTTCAATCTGTTCTAGTATGAAATTGTGTTCGTCTTCTGATTTATTTGTTGTTATTTTTTTGATTTGTTAGCTTTGATCTAGGTTTCGTTGGTGAATTAAATGCTTTTAAATCTGATTGAACTATGGCTATGGACTAATTTTGAACTCATGAATATAAAGTGGTTGTTATTTCTGAGCCATATGATGGATTAGATCTTTAAATTCAATTCCGGTTCAATGTTGTAGTTTGTTTCAATTCATTATGGCTATATTTGCAATTCGACATCCGATTCAGGAAAATACTTACTACTAGAAGTTGTGTTGATAGGTGCCTAAGTGTTAAATCGGGCTAAACTTGCAATTCCTTGTTTGGGTTGAGAGAATTACAACAGTTCTTGTTAGATTTTTTTTAAATTGTCTGTGTAATAACATTAGTAAATCGACTCCTTTTGATCTAACTTTCAAAGTTATTGATTAAATCTGATAATCCCATCTTGTTAGTAATTTATGAAGGGTATGGGCTCAAACACATAGTATTAGTAATGGACCATCATGCAAGCACCAAAGCAAATGCAAGCTAGTTGAATCAGAAATGTTCTCAACTCTAAAACTCTTCCGAAATGATTAAAACCTTATCTATCATAATTTCCTTTTCCATAAACTCATGAATGTTGTCGTTTGCTTTAGGCGTGATTAATAATAAATCATCATAACTATGGGTACGGTTCCCGTGGCATAGTGATGATACATAATCCCCAATTCAAGTGTG